TCATGCACGACCTCCCTATTATCAATTTGAAGAGAGAAAGAACAAATATCAGTACATTTTTTTTCAAATCTGGCTAAAAAAAGTTTCAGTTTTCGTTTTAAACTTTGGTTTTGATAAAGCCTTTAGATAAGCTAACAGAAGTTGCTTTCAAATTCCCTTTAGCTGTTTAACATATAATTACATTAAATTTAGACGATAATACAAAACAATCACAGGACTCCGTTCATCAGTGAAAATGAAGGCTTTAGTGTACCTTTTTAATACATGTATGACAAAGCACAGTGAGTGTAATGTTTGTTATTTTACAAAAGAAGATGGCACATTCTAATAACTTGAAGTCTTAGATTGTATCATTTACCATAGTTATTATAGCTATGGTCACCATCTCTCCTTTTCATTTGATGTTTTAAATAACTAATCTTTTGTTGAACCACCCTTTGTGTATATCAATTTTTATTACCTCCCTAGATAACACTCAAACGAATTGTGAAACAACTTTACTCCTCAGTGTAGAATACCCTTCAAAATCAAAAATAGTGGAAATTATTCACAGACGGGAAAGAAAATACCCAAATGCTTGTATCATGTACATTTCTTCATTTAAACTTATAGTCAAATTTTAACTATAGTCTTGTTCAAGAGTGTCAGAAATAAGCAAAATCAAATGTGTTGATCTCCTAGAACAATCTGGACTGTGATCAAGTGAAATTATGCCTCATCCATGTTATTTAGTTTTAATTCTGCTATTCAAAGTTTTAAAACGTCGTCCCCCTTTTTCAAACTATGATTAATGAGAATCCATATTGTCATGCGTCATTTCAAGTTAGTTTTAAAAACCAAAAGATTAAAAGAAAAATTAGAAAATATGAATTCATACACTGATCTGCAGTATTGCTTTGGAACTGTGTACATCTTAGAAACGAAGCTTTTCAATAGTTTGCAGTGTGCATATATGCGTATCCTATTACTATTAACATAAGTCTTCACTTAGATCAGCAGTTTTGAAAAATCAAACGTTCATCATCACGATTAAACATACAAAATTGAATAATAACCTGAAAAAGTCACTTTCTACTATGTTTAACGTATAACGCCTTCTCATCATACATGTTCACATCACGCGTTTTTGCTTGAGGGTTGCAGGAAACATGAAATCACATGGCACTTAATTATATAAAATTGAATACTTTAACTCAAGTAACGTTATGAATAATTTGGAAAAATTCACGATTACTTTGAAGGCTCAGGTGACAGAATTATTCAGAGTGGCTTCGCAATGACGAAAATTACTCAACTCACATAAGATTTACCGCCTCAAGTAGAACGAAATTGAATGCTATCCACAGACTGAATAATATTATTTGAGTAAAGTGAACATTCAGGACGGTTTCAGTGACTTTTCCTATAAACCTGATATAGCAATTGTTTCCACGGGGGACATGTATCCAGAAGTCAAAACATCGTTTACGCAAATACGTTTAAAATAAGTAAACACATTTTAAGACAGTGGTATAATAAATGTTTAGCAAATTTGAATAAAATATTACTTTGTGGAACACTTTTCTGCTTTAAAAGAGAAACTCATAAAATCTGTGCCAAAAATAAGCTGGGTCTAATTATTTGCTAATTACAATTCAACATTTTTGTACTTTTTACCCTTAATTTGTGAAAGATAGAAAATATTCAGAAAAAAGAATTATATAACCAGCGGCACAGTAAAAATGTTTTTTGCCTCACATTTGAAAAGATCAACAAAACGCAATTTGACAATGTTGCTTGCCGAATTTTCTCATTCATGGAAAGAGAATGAAAATTTATTTTTTATTCTTGATTTTATGTGTAAACTTGTAATTTGTAAAGTTTGAAGAATAAATTACTGAAATGTGGTCGTGGACATTTTTTAAAAATTAATGAGTTGTGGGGAATTTATTTGTTCAAACATTGTTGCCTGAATGTCAAAGCTTATGCAGTAATTTGTATTCTAAGTCAAAATCTGTAAAACCATTTATCATTGACTACAGCCATTTATATGCATAATTCTTTCACTGCCTACCAAGGTATCTAAACAGGCGTTTGACTTTGAGACTGGTCATAGAATAAACCGAAAACGTTTGTGGTGTAATATTATATATAGACTGGCAGGGTGAAGGGTAGCTAGAAATTACGTTACTGCAGTTCTAATGTTGATCCACGTTTTCCGATTTGTCTGCGTATCATAACGATAAACGGAATTCCGTGACCTCCAGTGATGATATGACTTCTTATTCCATATCAGTTTTTCACTTTCTAAGGACATTTTTCTTGAGTTAAACGGAACTGTTTCTCACATTTAAGTTAACAGATGTTAGTAGCTTCATAAACGATGTTAAAAATATTCACCTGTGTGTGATGTGCAGACATTAAGAACGCCTTAAAACATAAAAGCAAAAAATTAATTCAGCCACTAGAAGCTGAATTCTCTTTCCTATAATTTTGTAACATCATTTGAAGATCACTGAAAACTGGAAGACACGGTGACAGCTTTTTCATCCTAGTCTGAGACATTTTAGCAGTGCTCATCCATGACCCCATCAGAGACCGAATCCGACACCTGATCTTCTGTGATCTCTAAAGGATATTGATTCATGACGAAATCTAACAGTTGGTGTATCTGGTTTCTCAAAATGCTTCATTTAGTTCCAACTATTTTTGGATAGAAACATATGAAACACTTGAAAGAATCTTATTATTTCGAACAGATCATCGGGTTATTTAACGCTATACTAGTGACTGAGTAAACAGGGACTGATTTATTGATTCTCATTTCTATGATCACTGTATATCTGTTAAAGGCACAAAACCAAAGATTCATGATTTGTGAGTAAATTCATAAAGATAGTTAGTTGTGCAAAGGTGTACCTGTTCAAAGCTATAAATGAAATATTTACCATGAAGTTTATAAAGCTAAAGAAGTCTTTATGAAATACACAGTGCTGAAATAATAATTTCGAAAAATTGTCTGTGTATTTGTGTGCTTATTATCACCAAAGATATTCCTAATTGTGGTGGACTGGATTATGCGTGAGACAGTGGGAAACGAGAAGACAGGGATATCCTGGACCGACGTGAAGAACCTAGAAGACCTGGATTTCGCGGATGATTTATGTTTGATGTCACACAAAATCGAAGACTTACAAGCGAAAACCGACAAACTGGTCGAAGAAGCAGCAAAGACAGGACTGCAGGTGAACATAGACAAGACGGAGGTTATGAAAATAACCAACCACCACCAACAATAACAACAGCAACATCCAGCGCCAATCACCACCAACGGGAGGCATTTGAAAGAGGTTACTTCATTCACTTATCTAGGGAGCATTGTCTCAACCACAGGAGGAACGGACGAGGATGTCAAATCGAGAATCGTGAAGGCGAGAAACACATTCATCGACCTGAAACCAATCTGGAAATCTTCGTCACTCACCATCAACAACAAAGTGATTCGGATTTTCAATACAAACGTCAAGTCAGTCAGTTTTTCTATACGGATCAGAAACGTGGCGGGTCACAAAGAATATTTCCAACAGCCTGTTGCAGACCTTTATCAACAACTGTCTTCGCTCCATACTGAAGATTAGATGGCCGGAAAGAATCACAAACAAGAAGCTATGGGAACAGACAAAACAGGAACCAATCGCTCAACAAATATGCAGGAGAAAGTGGAGATGGATTGGACACTCGCTGAGGAGGCCGCTGGGTGACATCACGCGTCAGGCCATAGCTCGAGTGGAACCCGAAAGGGAAGCGGCGAGTGGGACGTCCAAGAGTGACATGGAGGAGATCGTGTGAAGAGGAGTTGAAACAGTATGGACTAACATGGATGCAAGTGAAAAGTACAGCGGAAGACAGCAGCAAGTGGAGACGTGGAGTTGAAGCCCTATGTTCCACTAGGAACCCAAGGGAACATTAATAATAATAGATTTATACCTTATTTGACTCGTTTTATTGCAAAAGAAATCCAGGAATGCCTATGTACAATGCGTGACACAGTCGTAACTCTTATTTGTGGACAAGTGCTTCAACAAAACCGAATCAACAAATAGATGAGCCGCGTTTGCTTATAAACTGAAACTTCTTTCCACATACTTGTCTCTCTACGTCTTTTAAGACACGGCTTTTACCACTTATCTATTTGTTGGCGACAAAGACGATCTGTTGAGGTGCAAAAACTCAGATTTTCTACAGAACATATTTTCATAAAGTGGAATTATAAGCAGTTCACCAGTTTTTCTTTAATTCGTTTCGATTAATGGAGACACTGACATCATGGAAACAGATTTAATACATCAAACTCCAGTCACAGGAATAGAAAACAGAAAGTATACACATGCGTTAAAGTATATACTGCTGACCACTGAGCAGAAAATACCGCAACTTATGCTACCTAAATATTTTTTTCCATGAAGACCGATTAGGGAAATAGCAGGAACTCTAGTAATTTCGTTTCATATGAAATGCGTGTGCCTGTGACCAACTACTTATGTGAATATGTAGAATACAAGCGAATGGATTTGTCAGCTAAATATTAAAAATGCACTTGAACATAAATTAAACAAAAATGTTTTTATTTTTAAATCTCAATGTTCTCGTTTTATATAATAAGTAGATTTAACCAAAAGCAAACACAAAATGAATTTTATATACATCAGAATGAACACAGTGTCTTTAGTCACAAATTTTTGGTAAGTGTAAGGGAAATAGTTATCACACGAAACTTACGGGATATTGTATGTCACATTGTTCAAGAATAAAGTGAGTTTATGTTACTTTTTTTAAGTTTTAAGATTCTGTTTGATGAACCTCACCCAAGAATGAGGGTTTCTAAATTCATTTTTCTTAACAGATAGCCTTGCTTTCATTTGTTTTCAACAAACTTCATCACCCTGTAAACTCAGATACCCTGGCATCTTCTTGTGATATGCAGTATATATACACAGCAATTTAACAGAAAATAAACAGCCTCAAAACGTTACTTCTGACTGATTGGTTAACACTTGTCTTGTCTGCCGTCTTGCATACCTCCACAGGCGTACGGTTTCCTGCCGAAAACGCTTGCTCATAATTAAGTAGATGATGACATTTGCACATGAATCCAGAACGACTAAACTCTTTAATGCATTTGTCACAAGATCGAATTGTCCATGAGGAAATTTATATTCAAATATTACACAAAAGAATACGGGTGATTCAAATAAAATAAATATAACTGTAAGCAATGTAACCATACGTGTAGCTCTGACTTGATTTTGTAAACGACGTTCATTCATTTTATATTCAAGTAAAATTTGATGTTGTCTTGTTCGTGTAGAATTTTGCTTAGATGTATATGAACAGTCAGCATTGAAGTTGTTACTAGTGGCGTTAATCGGATTACTTTTATGAACATCTGAACGTTCTGTAGGCCTATTCGGCATATTATGATTTAAATTAGGTAATTTGTGACGGAACAAAGCAATCAACATAATAATTGTTGTTAATACAACAATTAATATTGGTAATGCTGATTGAAATGTGAAAAATAAATCCTTAGCGATTCTCCATTGCGTATTTGGTAACAGTATAATTCTGTTATTCTGATTTACGCAAACATCTATTTGCTTTTCAAACAGTCTTAAAACACTGAGCAGAAATCCTGTTAGTATGCAAATAATTGTACACACGGCCATCCATTTTGGTTGGAATAAATGTGAATTTGTTTTTCGTGACATCATCGGCTTAGTTATTGCAACACAACGCGCTAATGATATCAACGTTATAGTCCAGTTTCGTGAACATAAAGCACCACCAATTAAGATAAAACACGCAATATCTATGAGTGTCTTGAAAAGATTTTGTTGGTCATCCAGTAGTTTAGTGGCATAAGATAATGAAACCATGAAAATCATTAAATTCAACAGTGCTTCAAATATTGTCAGTGTAATTAAATTTACTCGCATTGAACCTAAACGTATTGCTTGTGGTCTAGTTAAAACTGTTAGTGCTAAACAACTGATTACCAATGCTATCGGACTTAAAACAAGCAAAAATAAATATATCGGAAATATATACACTTGTTCGGTTCCATCTCTTGTATCATTGTATTGTGTACAGTTGTTAATGTATGATACAAATTTGGTTGTATTCATTAGACTAAGGAAGTTTTCTGGAGTGTATTGAAATGAAATAAACTACTTCCACAGTACTACTAACGTCGTATTAATTCATATCGATGTAAACAAAAGGTCGGTGTTTTGTGTCCATAGTATAAAGTATAACATTCAGAAGTGAACCAATGGAATGTTGACTTTAAAGTTAATCCATGATTGGTCAATACCCATGACAACGGCCAATTATAAAAAACCTATTTTCCGAAAATGACAGTAAATAAAGAAATCAAGTAAAATGATGCTACAGTGAGTTAATTATCCCGAGATATTTTTCCCTGTGTGAATATGCCACAACGATATAATTAGACTGTAAAGCACTCTATGGCTTTTCCAGGATAACGAGTAATTCGTCGAAACGATACAGAAGACAATAAACCAGCAACCTACTTAAATGACATTTGACATCAAGTGGTTTTTAAAAAGGGCGAATACTCATTACACCAGTTGGTATCTTATTATTCGCAAAGTAAATATCCTGTGGACAGAATCTATTTATGACTTTAGCACAGACGCAGAAGTAACACCTTGTTAAAAATAGACTAATTAAAGCGTAGCATATGAATGCAAGTATTTCCGCTCCATTATAAACTGATGATTGGGATCCTTGGTATCACCAACCTGCATAATTCTATAAAAAAGTATGTTTAGGGTCTAAGGGGCAAATATTTTCTTGCTTGAGGATATGGCAATTACACCGAATCTTCAATAATGGAATTTAATAATTTAATAATTCCTATTGTAGCATAAAGATCACAATATTCAGCGAAGAGACTCTTTTCAGCGAATTTATTATCAAGCTGTACAATCGTATATATATGGTTTTTAAGAAATTATATCCGGTGAGGGAATTGAATCACATGTTTGAATATATGAAATAATAATAGTATGAAATGTAAAAAAATATTTAATGCTTAGAGGATTTCATGATAGGCTGACATCAGTTAGGGAACAATTGGAAAACAAGGGAGTACTGGATAGCTGTTTCGTCCAATTTCAGGACTCCTCATCACTGCACATCCACCGTCAGGGTTCAAACCCAGGACCTTCTGGTTACAAGGCGAGCTAGGTCGTAGACAATTAATCCACTGGGACCCGATCCAGTGGCCAGCCCATGAATTCTAACTTCTGCCAATTCACGTCATAGCGTGACCACTTCGCAATGTCTTCTTTGATGATTTACTCCTCCGTCTTCAACCTACTATGCCCTTCTGGTCACGGCTTCCCACTGGAACCTCAGGTAACTGCCTAAATATGGCAGGGCGCGTACTGATGAAGAGTCCCCAGTTAAGACGAAACGGCTGTCCAGTACTCCCAGGTTTTCCAATGGTTCTCTGACTGATGTCAGCTCATGATGAAATCCTCCAACCAATCAAACAAAATGGCTACAAAACCAATACTTAAAATATTTGTGATTATAATCATAGTTAAATGTCAAGTGACAAAACAATTAGTGTCGTACATAGAATAATTCATAAGATGTATATATGCTGGAAAGAGGTGCATAATATAAAATGTTACATAGCACTGTGTGAAATTTGATAAGATAGAATTTAATGTTGTAAAAAAATTTTGGGATAAGCGAAAACAATTCAAAGTGAAAATAGTAATATTAATCACAGTAATATGGGAAAGGTACATAGATTAACTAAACAAACAAAACCAATAAATAAATAATGCCTATCCATCTATGGCCAAGGCTGAAGTATGGGTTGTACATACTTCTTTTCTATACAAAAGTCTGGCTTAAATTCATGAATGTTCAAGACTTCCCCTATCTTTATAAGTTTATACCGAAGAAAACGCGCCAAGTTAGCATGGATACGATAGATGATCTCAAAATCATTGTCAGGGTTGGTAGAAAGACAAGAGTCGATCAGGTATTCTAGAATAAAGCATCGCACATTCTTCCTTTCTTCCTTATAATGGAATTATCTTCGTTGCATAATCTTTTTCATGTCTCTTTGAGGGTTTGGAGGCTTTTCACTAGTAATCCTATTTTTTCAATTACCTTTACACACTGGAAAGTCTCACAAACGTAATTATCACTGACATTAATCATATCTTAAAGCGTTTCAAATTTTTCTCCATTATTCTCACAGTTGCGTGACTGTGTGTTACCTATTGCTTTAATTTTTAATTCATTTTTACCTATCATTACGGTAAAATGTACATAAATAATTACTTCGATTATCAGGCCTCAAACTCTGTTAACGTTTATGAATTTGTTCCATTTTTTTCACACCCATAGTAACAGCAACTAGCAAAGAAGACATTGGGTATTTTCAGAGTATTTACAATTTTATCAGTAGTATTCCACACAGAAAATCTGATAGCATTTTCAAAATAAAATGAAGCTAACATTCACACAGTATTAGTCAGACGAATCAACTGAAATTCATCTTTCGCAAATTAAGCAATTTGGGGTGAATAATTCCTAGAATTGTTTTGCAACCCCACAATATTCTGATCACAATGTAGGTTGGAGAAAACCATAGAGATAGCCAAATGTTATATACTGTTGACGCATAGCAGTATCTGGAAATACCTATAGGCACTAGTTAGCGATCCAAGAGCTAAATGAAACATTATTCTCTTACGGCTTATTTGATAACAGCTCAAATTTTATAATCGTTTTGTTAACCATCATTTTTATATTTCAATGTCTACAAAATTCTTCATATCTCCGAAATTGCGTTGATTGACTTATAATATAAGTAAACAAGTTTGACTGGATGTAAAATGTTTTTAAATGATATCTGATTTTGTACACTGGTGGTCTTCGTCACTGTTGCCACCTACTGACTTACTCTTTCATAATAAACTGAGTTAAAATATCTGTTAAGTTTGGCAAACTTTATCGTCCTTAGTTAAAAAATCTTTGCATTTCAAAATTAACTACCCTAAGCTTGTCTGACCAAAGTCTTCGAAAGTTGAGCAATTATATGAAAGATAAAAGCCAATAAAAATGGACTAAGTGACAAAAAGGATTTAGGAATGATAATAAAGGTAGGTAAATGTGTGATCAGATTGTTCGAAATGCATTGCGAAAATAAATCAACAGTCAATGACTATTAACAGAATACGCTGAGGCATCAGTTATTCGTAAACTTAAGCCTTGTGTAGACAAAAACAGTTTATTATTACTCTTAACCCACCTTGGTAATCCTTTTCTGAATAAATATACCCTATCTCGTCAACGAAACATCCCTCAACCAGAAAAGTTTCAATTTTTAAGCAATTTACATGCTTAACTGACATTTCTGTTTTAATCTTCACAGAATTCTACGTAATCTCGTTTACTTCTTACTGTCCTTGAGGCTGTAAAATCAGTTATATATGATCACGGTATCTATGTATATAAATTTCCCCTATTTTATTATTATGACGGCCAGATTTATTTGGTTATGGTTTGAACGCAAAAAACCGATCTCTATGTTCTATTGCATAGTCAACAATAATTCGTTTAAACACGATCTATCATGAAACATTCTAAAGGCAGGGAAAAGACCATTATTATTCTTCAATATTTTAGCGGTTCTACTAGACACCAATGACAAAACTCAAATTTACCTCAACAGCACCGTTAGGCAGCTATACAGGCAATATATGTTTCTAAACACAAAACAAGTACTATAAGACAAAATTAGTTAACCAAAGTTCAACTGTAGAAAGTACCTTAGAACCTAGGGGAATATTTCCAACCAAGTGGGATCAAAAGCTCTGTCCACAAGAATCACACTCCAACGCTCCCCACAGACAGTCCCTGGTCAGAATGACCATTCATGCAAACAGAATCATATCGTTAAGCAGCACATTGCCAGTGTGTACACGAGCACAAATGGAAATATTACAATCATAGATTGAACAAGGACAAAGGCAAATGGTACAGGTTAGAATCAACTTGTGATACGCAAATGTTAAATTAATGATACATAGTCTGGGAGAAAACAATATAATAATTATAAAGCTAGCTGAATCGTCTAAATAAGTGTTATTATTATAAATAGATCGTCCAGGGGGGATTTTCCAAACAATTTGTCCACTACAATTATTGTATTCTAAATGTATCCAAAAAGATTCTTGATTTTATTCATGCACCATATCACCTATTTTTACTGTGGCTTTTCGCTTCAGTAATTGAATATTTTGCTTGTCTGGAAAAAATATCTTACTGCACACGTAGTACTTCTGGACTAGAAATACTTACGGAAAAGGAATCAAAGCTTTGAGAAATAATAATGTGAGAATTCCACTGAAAAGAATAAATCCCAGTTTCTGAGAGTAGTCGAAATTGTGAAATCCTGTAATAAATACACAGATCATTCTGAGATTTTCTAGTCACAGCCATTAGCTCTGTTTCCAATTATGTAGCACTTTTTAACAGAAGATTTTGTTCAGTTAACCGCTTATTTAGAAGTGAATAATATTATTTCAATATTCATGTACAAGATAACAACGGATATCGCAGAGAAAGTCTTATTTTTTCGAAAGCTGTTAGTAAACTTACAATCGCCCCCTTCAATATGTCATGAAATCAAAATCCATTTTAAAAATGCCCTAACCAGTCTGTTAAATCGTATTGTTTATTGCAAACGGTTGCTAAACAAAACACCTGCATTTTGGTATAATGGACAATGTTATGTAAATATAATATATGAACAGGTGATCTGGATATCTCGGAGAACCGAAGATAAAACCAACTTTTAATTAAATTATATTCAGACAACGGACTTGCTGAGACATAAATTCTACATGATAATCTGATGGTAACTGAAGAACTATTACAGTAGCTTGTGAGAGTAAATATTAAAGATGTCACTCCTCTACTTCACTATTCCAAAAAAGGCTTCACGTTTCAATATGATATGAATTGTGACAAATTCACTACAGTAGCAAAAGGCATTAGTCCGGATATGTAGATATAGGCAAATTCTTTGAATCAGGTAATTCTTTTCAGTATCGTTCCCCTTGCAAAAGTC